ATCATGTTGAAGAAGCATCGTAGCTTCTCCAAGTAGCATGTAGTGGTTCTAATGAGTGTCAGGAACCTACCTGAGTTCTAACGAGTGTCAGGAACTTAGCTGAGTATTTATACATAGCTGAGTCAACCCATGGATGCTGATTGTCCAAGAACATGGTGGAAGGTAGAAAATATTATGAAACCAACTTGTTCTAATTACATAATCCAGTCACCATGGAATGTGTCAAGGCAGATGTTGATTGTCCAAGACCATGGTGGAAGGTGGGAAAGTTTATAAAACCAACATGTTCTTATTACCTGATCCAATCACCATGAGGCCTTTGTAGGCCTCTTGCCATAATAGCTAGCGGTGGTCAGTCACATTCAACTGGTCTCGTTTATAGTGTTGAAGGAACATCGTAGCTTCTCCAAGTAGCATGTAGTGGTTCTAACGAGTGTCAGGAACCTACCTGAGTATTGAGTAGGAAGTAGGGAATATGGAATGGGAAAGTTTTTGAAACCAACCCGTTCTAGTTAAATAATCCAGTCACTGTGGTATATGTCAAGGTAGAAGCTGATTGCCATGAACCTGATGGGAGGTGGGAGGTTTTTTTTTAACGAGTGTCAGGAACCTACCTGAGTCAGGTTCTTGACTACCTGAGTGTCAGGAACCTACCTGAGTTCTAATGAGTGTCAGGAACTTACCTGAGTATTTTATACATAGCTGAGTCAACCCATGGATGTTGATTGTCCAAGAACTGGTGGAAGGTAGAAAATTTTATGAAACCAACTTGTTCTAATGACATAATCCAACCACCATGCCATAGTGTCTGTGGTAGATACAGGGGCGGACTGACAACTCATGGGGCCCCTGGGCAATGGGGGATCATGGGGCCCCTGTGCCCTTGCCCAAACTCAAAAAAGCCTATGAAAAAGGTACCAGGGGCATCTCATGGGGCCCCCTACTGACCCCGGGCCCTCGGGCAGTGCCCGATTTTCCAAATAGTCAGTCCGCCCCTGGGTAGGTATCGATTGTAGACGGTAGAGATGGTATAATGGCATTATGGATGGGTGGTAGATGACGGTGTTGAAGGCCCCTACAACCATCTAGGACCAGTCTCTCCAGTTTGAGGCAGATGACCTCTTTAAGGCCTTCAGACAACCAATCATCTTCTATATAAATGGTAGACAAGCCCAGTAGAATGTGACTAACTGCTGCTAGGTATACCAGGACCCGGGTCAACGAGAACCTTCACAGGTGTTTCTGGGCACAATAAAATTCTTGTGTACACGGCAGGGGCGGACTGACAACTCATGGGGCCCCCGGGCAATAGGGGATCATGGGGCCCCGTGTCCTTGCCCAAACTCAAAATAGCCTATGAAAAAGGTACCAGGGGCATCTCATGGGGCCCCCTACTGATCCCGGGCTCTCAGGCAGTGCCCGAGTTTCCAAATGGTCAGTCCGCCCCTGGTACATGGCTGCCAATCAGGTGAGAAGTCCGGGGACGTCCCAGTTTGTGGACGTTTGTCCTCGAAAAACACAGCAGAACAAAGTTGAACAAGAAACAACGCAAACGTAAACACAATGGAGCACAAAGTTAAGCACAATGTAACAAAATTAAACATGGGGTGACATGAAGCTGAATGCAGTGAAACACAAGCTGAACACCATGTAATAGAATCAACACAATTTAATAGAATCAACACAATGTAGCACAGAGTTGAACACCATTAATAGAATCAACACAATGTAGCACAGAGTTGAACACCATGTAACAGAATCAACACAATGTAGCACAAAGTTGAACACAATGTAACAATGTAACAAAGCAGAACGCAGTGGAACACAATGCAAACCAATGTTAAACACAATATAACACAAAGCCGAACACAAGGTATCGCAAAGTTGAACGCAATGTAACAAAATGAAATGCAATGTAGCACAAAGTGAACACAAATCTGACAGCAATTGAACTCTGTAACAGAATCGAACGCAACGTAACACAAAGTTGAACACGCTGTGACAGAATCAACACTAGGCAGTACAAAGTTGAACTCCGTATAGCAAGACTGAACACAAGGTAACACAAAGCTGAAGACGATGCAACAGAATTAAAACACACAATGTAGCACAAAGCTGAGCACAAAGGAACACAAAGTTGAATGCAATTCAATGCAAAGCTGAACACGATGTGATAGAATTAAAACAACGTAGCACAAAGTTGAACCCTGTGTAACAGGATCAAATACAATGTGGCACAAAGCTAAACAAATGTAAAATGTAGCACAAAGTTGAACACAATGTAATGAATCAACAATGTAGCACAAAGTTTGAACACAATGTAATAGAATCAACACAATGTAGCACAAAGTTGAACACGATGTAATAGAATCAACACAATGAATCAATGTAGCACAAAGTGTAACCCAAAGTAATGAATCATGTAGCAATGAACAAAGCTGAACACAGTGGAACACAATCCAAAGTTAAACACAATATAACACAAAGCCGAACTTAAGGAATCGTACAGTTGAACGCCATGTAACAAATGAAATACAATGTAGCACAAAGTGAACACAATGGAACACAAATCTGACAGCAATGTAACAGAATCAAACACAACGTAACAAAAGTTGAACACGCTGTGACAGAATCAACACTAGGGAGCACAATTTGAACTCCGATGTATAGCAAGACTGAACACAAGTAACACAAAGCTGAGCACAAAGGAACAAAAAGTTGTGCAAAAATGCAAAGCTGAACACAATGTGATAGACAGACAAAGTTGAATCCTGTGCAACAGAATCGAATCCAATGTAACCCAAAGTTGAACACGATGTAACAGAATCGAACACAATGTAACCCAAAGTTGAACACGATGTAACAGAATCAACACAATGCAACCCAAAGTTGAACACGATGTAACAGAATCGAACACAATGTAACCCAAAGTTGAACACGATGTAACAGAATCAACACAATGTTGCACAAAGTTGAACACCGTGTCACAAGATTGAACCCAAGGTAACACAAAGTTGAACACAATGCAACAGTTGAACACAATGCAACAGTATTAAACACAATATAGCACAAAGGAACACAATGAAACACAAAGTTGAACGCAACTGAACGCAAAACTGAAGACGATGCAACAGAATTAAAACTATGGAACACAAAGCTGAATGCAATTGAACACAAAATAACACAACGTTGAACAGAAAGAACACAACGTAACTGTAATCACATTGAACACACTGATACACAAAGTTGAACGCAATTGAACACAACGTAACTGCAATGTCATACCATTGAACACACTGATACACAAAGTTGAACACAATTGAACACAAAACTGAAGATGATGTAACAGAATTAAAATTATGGAACACAAAGCTGAATGCAATTGAACACAAAAAGAACACAACGTTGAACAGAAGGAACACAACGTAACTGTAATGTAATCACATTGAACACACTGATACACAAAGTTGAATGCAATTGAACACATTGTAACTGCAATGTCATACCATTGAACACACTGATACACAAAGTTGAACACAATTGAACACAACGTAACTGCAATGTCATACCATTGAACACAGTGATACACAAAGTTGAACGCAATTGAACACAAAATAACACAACGTTGAACAGAAAGAACACAACGTAACTGCAATGTAATCACATTGAACACACTGATACACAAAGTTGAACACAACGTAACTGCAACGTAATCACATTGAACATACTGATACACAAAATTGAACGCAATTGAACACAACGTAACTGCAACGTAATCACATTGAACATACTGATACACAAAATTGAACGCAATTGAACACAACGTAACTGCAACGTAATCACATTGAACACACTGATGCACAAAATTGAATGCAATTGAACACAACGTAACTGCAACGTAATCACATTGAACACACTGATACACAAAATTGAACGCAATTGAACACAATGTAACTGCAATGTAATCACATTGAACACACTGATACACAAAGTTGAACAATTGAACACAATGTAACTGAAGATGATGTAATCACATTAAACACACTGAACACAAAGCTGAATGCAATTGAACACAAAACTGAAGATGATGTAATCACATTGAACACACTGATACACAAAGCTGAATGCAATTGAACACAACTGAACACAACATAATCACATTGAACACACTGATACACAAAGTTGAACACAATTGAACACACTGATACACAAAGTTTTTTTTATTATAAACCGATAATAAATAAAAATCTGGTAATCTGACATTACCGATAAATTTACGCATTTTATTTTTTGCGTTTTCACAGCAGCTTTGATGTAGGGATCAGTTGGGATTGGCTATTCCTGGCTCCCTCGCCGTTTCCATGGCGGATCTATCTGCGCGGCGGTGGCGGCCTGGCGTCAGGACAGGAGAGGGTTAGCTCGCCATCGCTCAGCTTTTATTCCTCCTCAGAACGCGGGCAGCCCGCAGGGACCGGGGTTGCAGCTGTTAGTTCAGTTGCTCCAAATTTCTTCAGAGAATCGGTTGGACACGGCCGCTCTGCCTCCCAGCAGGGATGTGGAACATCAAAAATGGGCGACATCAGAGCCAAGCCGGAAAAAAAAAAAAAAAAAAAACCCCCGTGGAGGAGCGTGAAATGGACCCGCGCCATGCGAGCAAAATGAATTTTAATAAGCGCTCAGATGGACGGGCGGCCGCTGACCTCTCCACCCTTCCGAATGACGGGACATTGGCGGAAAAGGCGCTCTTCGCGTGCGGCGATCTCAATGTCTGCGCTGATCGCAGAGTCGCCGGAATGGATCTGAGAATGGAGAATACAGGGGAGCCCAGAGGGGGGCGCCGAGATTGAACTGGATGCATGGGTGACCATTCACCGCGCCGGAAGAGGACGCACCACGGGGGGGCAGAGTATGTACCACCAACACACGGCGCACAGTCCATACATACAGGATGGGGACAGATACCGAGAATGACACCCGGCATCCGGGACAGGAGAAGTGGGACTGTGCAGAGTCCACACATACAGAATAAGAGGAGATACCGAGAATGACACCCGGCATCCAGGACAGGAGAAGTGGGACTGTGCAGAGTCCATACATACAGAATAAGGACAGATACTGAGAATGACACCCGGCATCCAGGACAGGAGAAGTGGGACTGTGCAGAGTCCATACATACAGAATAAGAGGAGATACCGAGAATGACACCCGGCATCCGGACAGGAGAAGTGGGACTGTTCAGAGTCCATACATACAGAATGGGGACAGATACCGAGAATGACACCCGGCATCCGGACAGGAGAAGTGGGACTGTGCAGAGTCCCTTACCACAGAATGCTTACAGATTACCAGAATGTCATCTCAGGACAGGAAAGTAACTGTGCAGAGTCCACATTTGGGAGATACCGGTGAAGCACCCGGCATCCCTGGGAGCAGCAGCAGTGGGACTGTGCCCTTCCCCACTGCTTAGGCCCCCCCATCACACATGAATGTCATCTCAAGAAGAAAATAAATGGACACATTTCCTCCCATAGGGTGTAGCAGTGCACCTCTTCCGGGGAGCAGCAGCAGCCTCAGTGTTCCCCCCTTATTCCCCCCCTCCCCTCCCATGGTACAGACCTCAGATGATCCTCCCTGCCCCTTTCCTTCCCCGATTCCCCTCTCCATACAGACCTCAGTGTTCCCCCCTCTTCCGTTCCCCGAGTCCCCTCTCCATACAGACCTCAGTGTTCCCCCCTCTTCCATTCCCCGAGCTCCCCTGTCCATACAGACCTCAGTGTTCCCCCCTCTTCCATTCCCCGAGCTCCCCTGGACATACAGACCTCAGTGTTCCCCCCCTCTTCCGTTCCCCGAGCTCCCCTGGCCATACAGACCTCAGTGTTCCCCCCTCTTCCGTTCCCCGAGCTCCCCTCTGGCCATACAGACCTCAGTGCTCCCCCCTCTTCTGTTCCCCGAGCTCCCCTGGCCACACAGACTTCAGTGCTCCCCCCTCTTCCGTTCCCCGAGCTCCCCTGGCCATACAGACCTCAGTGCTTCCCCCTCTTCCGTTCCCCGAGCTCCCCTGGCCATACAGACCTCAGTGCTCCCCTCTCTTCCATTCCCCGAGCTCCCCTGGACTACAGACCTCAGTGTTCCCCCCTCTTCCGTTCCCCGAGCTCCCCTGGACATACAGACCTCAGTGTTCCCCCCTCTTCCATTCCCCGAGCTCCCCTGGACCATACAGACCTCAGTGTTCCCCCCTCTTCCGTTCCCCGAGCTCCCCTGGACTTACAGACCTCAGTGTTCCCCCCTCTTCCATTCCCCGAGCTCCCCTGGACTTACAGACCTCAGTGTTCCCCCCTCTTCCGTTCCCCAAGCTCCCCTGGACATACAGACCTCAGTGTTCCCCCCTCTTCCGTTCCCCGAGCTCCCCTGGACATACAGACCTCAGTGTTCCCCCCTCTTCCGTTCCCCGAGCTCCCCTTCATACAGACCTCAATGTTCCCCCCTCTTCCGTTCCCCGAGCTCCCCTCTCCATACAGACCTCAGTGCTCCCCCCTCTTCCGTTCCCCGAGCTCCCCTGGCCATACAGACCTCAGTGCTCCCCCCTCTTCCGTTCCCCGAGCTCCCCTGGCCACACAGACCTCAGTGCTCCCCTCTCTTCCATTCCCCGAGCTCCCCTGGACATACAGACCTCAGTGTTCCCCCCTCTTCCGTTCCCCGAGCTCCCCTGTCCATACAGACCTCAGTGTTCCCCCCTCTTCCATTCCCCGAGCTCCCCTGGACATACAGACCTCAGTGTTCCCCCCTCTTCCATTCCCCGAGCTCCCCTGGACATACAGACCTCAGTGTTCCCCCCCTCTTCCGTTCCCCGAGCTCCCCTGGACATACAGACCTCAGTGTTCCCCCCTCTTCTGTTCCCCAAGCTCCCCTCTTCATACAGACCTCAATGTTCCCCCCTCTTCCGTTCCCCGAGCTCCCCTCTCCATACAGACCTCAGTGCTCCCCCCCTCTTCCGTTCCCCAATTCTCCGTAGCTCCCCCATCTCCCAGGGGTGGAATGAAGTCCCCCTGTGAATGGTCGGGGAGGAGGGTGAACATTCTGTCAGTGCTCGCCGCCTTCTGGGACGTCCATTGTCCTCGCTCCTGCCAGCCAAGTCTCTGACATATGGCCACCATTGTGCCGAGGACAAAGGCAGCACTTAATAGTAATTCAGCTCGCGGGTTCGGCCTCATCGTGCCGACAGACTGGATTCGGTGTGTTTATTCCAGGAAGAGCGAGGAGTGTGGGGGGGGGGGTGGGGGTGGGGGGGGGGTGTTTTGCGTCCTGAAGAGGCTCTCAGCGCGCTGTTGTCGGGTTGTCACAGCTGGACTAGTGCGCTGTTGTCGGAGGATTGAATGGCGTGCAATTGTTCGTCGCTCGGTTTCATTAAAACTTGAAAAGGAAAGGCCTGATTGAGTTGTGCTTTGCTGGAACGCCGAGCGACGAACGTTCTGTGCCGAATAATCAGAGGCTGAGCCGCGTCCCTGCAGGGAAAGATGGGCCCCGGGGCCCCGAGCGCCATGTAGGTCGAAGGCGGGGAACCGCCAATGGCGTGCCATCCTTGACTTTTTAATGGCAGCATTTTCAGGGGCGCTTTGCTGCTCGACATGAAGGATCGGTCCGGCAAAGTGTGATCTTTCAGTTATAGGTGGACTAGGGGGGGTCACCCTCTGAATGGTTGTATGACTTGGATACATCTATAATGTCTCCTGACTCTGCTCCTGCACACCCCTTGTGTGTCAAACCTCCTCCTATTACATTCTTTGACACTTTGCTGCTCGACATGAAGGATCGGTCCTGCAAAGTGTGATCTTTCAGTTATAGGTGGAGTACAGCGTGGAGGGGGTCACCCCCTGAATGGTTGTATGACTTGCATACATCTATCATGTCTCCTGACTCTGCTCCTGCACACCCCTTGTGTGTCAAACCTCCTCCTATTACATTCTTTGACACTTTGCTGCTCGACATGAAGGATCGGTCTGGCAAAGTGTGATCGTTCAGTTATAGGTGGAGTAGGGGGGTCACCCCCTGAATGGTTGTAGGACTTGTATACACCTATAATGTCTCCTGACTCTGCTCCTGCACACCTTTGTGTGTCAAACCTCCTCCTATTACATTCTCCGACGCTTTGCTGCTCGACATGAAGGATCAGCCTGGCAAAGTGTGATCCTTCAGTTATAGGTGGAGTACGGCGTGGGGGGGGGTCACCCTCTGAATGGTTGTATGACTTGGATACATCTATAATGTCTCCTGACTCTGCTCCTGCACACCCTTGTGTGTCAAACCTCCTCCTATTACATTCTCCGACGCTTTGCTGTTCGACATGAAGGATCGGTCCGGCAAAGTGTGATCTTTCAGTTATAGGTGGAGTACGGCGTAAGGGGGGGGTCACCCCCTGAATGGTTGTAGGACTTGGATACATCTATCATGTCTCCTGACTCTGCTCCTGCACACCTTTGTGTGTCCCAACTCCTCCTATTACATTCTCCATAATATAAATTAAAGGGATGGTGGGAACCCCTCATAATGGTCACAGCGGGCGTACAGACCCGGGAACTCAGCGCAGGGATGGTGGAAACCCCTCATAATGGGTGTAGCGGGCGTACAGAACCGGAACTCAGTGCAGGGGTGGTGGAAACCCCTCATAATGGGCGCATCGGGGTGTATAGACCCGGGAACTCAGCACAGGGAACCCCTCATAATGGTGGCGGGTGTATAGACCCGGGAACTTGGTGGGTAGACCTTTCAAGTGACATCACATTTGGTCGCTGACCGTCCCACTTGTGTGTATTTTTCTATTATTTTATTGAACTACATCAGGATGCTGTTGCTTTGTAGTATGCTGACATCTAGTGTTGTTTTGGGGCTTGTTTACTTATGTGGTTTGATATCTCCCTCTGTCCTCCCCTCAGTTTTAGTGCTAGTTAGTTTAGTCCTAGGTAGCCCCACCCTGTTTCTTCCAAGTTCCCTCAGACAGGGTTGTGGGAAGCCCTTTGCTTCTGAAACTGGAAAAACATCTTCTGTATTGCACTTGTAAGCAGTTGGAATTGACTTCAGTGTCTTTGGGAAGAGTTACGCTGCCTGTGGACGGTGCCAAGTCAGCTAGTGAGGTTCTATGGAAGTGCACTATATTGTCCAAAGTATTGTCCCCGCCCTCCATATCATGTGATTCAGGTGTTCCAATCCCCTCCCAATCATGTGATTCAGGTGTTCCAATCCCCTCCATGGACACAGGTGTATACAATCAAGCCCTAGGCATGCAGACGGCTTCTACAAACATTGGTGAAAGAATGGGTCGCTCTCAGGAGCTCAGTGACTCCAAGCGTGGTCCCGTGATAGGTGGTCACCTGGGCAATAAGTCCATCCGTGACATTTCCTGGCTACTAAATATTCAACGCTCACTGTTGTGGGGATTATAAACAAAGTGGAAGCAACTGGGAACAACAGCCACTCAGCCACCAAGTGGTAGGCCACGTCACATGACAGGGCGGGGGGGTCAGCGCATGCTGAAGCGCACAGTGCGCAGAAGTCACCAACTGTCTGCAGAGTCAATAGCTAAAGACCTCCAAACTTGGTGTGGCCTTCAGATGAGCCCAACAACAGTGCGTAGAGAGCTTCATGGAATGGGTTTCCATGGCCGAGCAGCTGCATCCAAGCCTTCCATCACCAAGTGCAATGCAAAGCGGCGGATGCCGTGGTGTAAAGCACGCCGCCACTGGACTCTAGAGCAGTGGAGACGTGTTCTTCAGAGTGACCAATCACGGTTGTCATGGGGACTTCATCCTACGACCCATGTCACCGCCGTCCATGGGAGTCATCCTCCTGGTTTCCATCAAGCTCAACAAATGGTAGAGTGTCAGCCTGGAACGGGCCAGCAAAGGGAGATCCCTGTGCTCTGCCATTACAACCCCAGGAAACAGGAGTCTCACTTCTCCTGCTGAGCATTCTTTGTGTAGCATAAAGCAAATTACCTGTTTTTTTATCAGTTTACATCCATTTTTCATCCTTTGTTTGCAAATTAGTTTGCATCCGTTTTTCATCAGTTTATCAGTTTAATCCGTTTTTTCATTCAGTTTTGTTTATCAGTTTACATCCGTTTTTCATCAGCTTTTTCATCAGTTTGCATCCGTTTCTCATCAATTTTTAATTATCAGTTTACATCCGTTTTTCATCAGTTTTTTTTTATCAGTTTACATCCGTTTTCTCATCATTTTTAATTATCAGTTTACATCTGTTTTTCATCATTTTTTTTTTTGTTTATCAGTTTACATCCATTTTTTCATCAGTTTATCAAGTTTTGCCGTTTTTCATCAGCTTTTTTTATCAGTTTACATCGTTTTTCATCAGTTACATTTCTCAGTTTACATCGTTTTTCATCATTTTTTTTATCAGTTTACATCTGTTTTTCATCTTTTTTTTTTTTTTTATCAGTTTTACATCCGTTTTTTCATCAGCTTTTTTTTTTTAATCAAGTTTTTATCCATTTTTCATCAGTTTATTT